TTGCAGATGCCTTGTGCCATTCCAGTGAGGCAGGGGGCTGTGTTTAATTTCTTACCCGTTGCATTCTCTGTATACGTTGTCATACAGCGCCAGGCTCAGCCACGTGGAAATGCTAGTGTTTGCTTTTTGTACCAACAGGCGCACTTTGTTTAGCAGGTTTCTTTCTATTTCCGCAGGGCAGACAGTTTGCCGAGGCGGAACGCAGCGACCGTGCTACAAAATAGTTTATTTTCATGATGTTTCGCGCAGGATCAGCTATGAAGAAGCACACCTTGCCTGTAGAGGTGATGGCGGTCACCTAGTCAGTATTGAAACAGAAGCAGAGCAAAGACTGATTGAAAAATTCATTGAGAGTCTCTTGGCTTCGGATGGAGATTTTTGGATAGGGCTTAGGAGGAAAAAGGAGGAGGAGATGGACAATAGCACAGAGTGTCAGAACCTCTACAGCTGGTCAGATGGCAGCTTGTCCAAGTTCAGGTAGGTACTTGGGTGAGAGGTTGGTCGGTGGCTGGATGAGGGCCTGCATCAGCCACCTCTAGCAGTCTGCACCAGTTCTTTCAAAAGAATGGAGTAGTGTGTTCTCAGCTGTTCTTGGTGTCCCCTTTGCAGTCGGTGAAGAGTGGTAGTCGTCTCCAGAGTGGTTCATCCCATCCAGCTGGAAGAGCTAGACAAACTTTCTTTTAGAGACCCTACTCCCTTATTGACCATATAGGATATCTGGATAGGCTAGGTGTTTAGCTTTTGCTGGCTAAAGGGAGGTGGAAGAGAGGGCCCTCTGGCCATAACAATCTGATGAAGCAAATACATGCACCTTGACATGCAGGTCCCTGAAGTTCTGTCCCCTGAGATCCTGACCGGTGGATCCTCCTTCTCCAACTTACTGAAGGAGTAGTCTTTTTTTCCTGTGAGGCTGCAGAGTTGGAGAGCTGCAGAATTTAGGGTGGACAAGAGAAACTGAAGTTGTCAAAATACTCACTAGGTCTTCTGCCTCCTTGTCTTAAGGCGTTTGCTGTAATAGAGATGCAACACAAATTACAACTAATACAAGCTTGCTGGAGTTGTTTTCACCACATTCCTGTTTTTGTTCAGCATCGAATCAAAATAACGTGTAGCCTCAGAAGTTCTGCTGAATTATGCTTCCACTTCGATCATAACTCAGTTTTCTAGCACAAAGGTATTCAGAGAACCAGGCCTACAAAATCTACCTTTGTGTAGTATAGAAACAGAAAATCTTCTGCTCTAAACATTGCCAGGTTAATGAAAGACTTGGCAGTGAGGTGGCAGCTCTACAGTGAACTGGCAGGTTCAAGAGGGTTTTGCCTGGCAGACAGTTAGTATTGAACCTATGATTAAATTAATTACAGGAAATCAAGCTATGCAGCGTTCAGTAATTATCCTGAATTCCTTGCTGCCTTTATAGTGATAGAACCATGAATGTCGTGAAATAACCCAACTGCTACTAAATATTTTATGGCAATATGTCATACATATGACAAGTCTTGCCTTTGTGTTCTTTTTTTATATTAGGAATGCGTAGAATTAAGTTGTTACTGGCTCCTAAAGTACCAGGTTGACAACAAGGGATTTTACTTGCTCTGTGCGGGACGGAACAAAACGAAGTTGCTATGAGTATTGTTCAGTTTCAGGTTTCTCCTGTCATTGGGATATTGGAAATGCATATTTGGGAGCTAGACCTAGATCTGCTGCTGCTAAGGAACTGATGTACCTTTCTTGCATTGGTGGAGCACAGCTTATTTACATGAAGTGATACAGCTAAACAGAAGACTTGTTTTCTTGGGGGGGGAAGAAGGGGAAGAATACAGCATGTAATGACGGCAGAATTATTGCTTTAACGCTTCCCCCCAGGTTGAATATCTTGGTATATCTGGAATTATTTATATTCTGTGGGCCAGCTTTCAAAAAGTGCTTGGCCTGCAAAACCTTGTGTCAGAATCGGTGGGTATTGAACATTTTTTAAAATCGGGCTATATAGTCTTAAAAGAAACGCTCCTTTGTGATTCATAAAATGCCTCTTCAGTGTCAATTATATTAGATTGCTAAATAGTTATGGCCTGCTTCCTTTGTTCCACTTGGAAAGGCCCACACAGTTTACAGTGGTGAAGTTTGTTATTACTGGAAAAAACATCCACAAGACTGTTTTTCCCCTCTGTCTAGGAATATGTTAATTTGAAAAAAACCTGATGTTTTAGCTTTTTCATTTTCTTATTAAATACATGGTCTCTCTGAAGCCAGAGAGCAAAAAAAGGTTTGGCAGATCATTTTGCATGGGTCTAAACGTACAGAGAAAGTCAAAGCTCTCTTGTGCCTTACTCAGCCTCACCAACGAGATTCAGGCAGAATATTCTGCTCTACGTTCCCTGACGTCCCTTGAGTGCCTTGCTGTCCACGTTCTCTTTGGAAATTTAGAATTCAAAAAGATGATACACTGATTAACTGTGGTGTACCTATCTTGATTTAATGGGAGAGGATGTATGTGCTGAGCTGTGCTCTGTTTTGATACCGCCCTCTATACTGCATTCCCATTTATGCTTCTGCAGTATTATGGAAGATGACTGCAAGTCTTACTTGACATGTTTGTTGTGTTTTCCTAGGAACTGGTATGTAGATGAGCCATCCTGTGGGAGTGAAATCTGTGTTGTGATGTACCACCAGCCATCTGCCCCACCGGGTGTTGGAGGTCCTTACATGTTTCAATGGAACGATGACAGATGCAACATGAAAAATAACTTCATTTGCAAATATTCTCTTGGTAATGAGTCACATCTTTAAAATTCAACCTGCTCCCGGTCCCCAAGAGTAGGTATAATGAGGTTATGGCAATGTATAAGGAAACCTTCCGGCTTTGCTGGAAAGATCCGTTAGGAGACGAATAGCTTTAAATTGTGCAAGTCGTGGGGAAAACAACCTCGGTATATAATGTGTGTATCAATATATTATATGTATCTAACATGAACTCTCAGAGGGTTTTTATAATGTGTCTGAGATCTCAAATGGGGCCTGAGGGAGAGGGGGCACCAAAGGGTACTCACTTTTCTGGACTGTAGACAGTAGACTTAGTCCTCCTGCTCAAACTTGTAAGGAAATTATGCATATCTTTTCTTCTAGAAAAGCAAACGAATGCTCCAAGAGAGACTTCTCAAACAGGTAAGTTACAGAAGCTTGGTTTCAGGCTTTTTTTAATAGAAATACTTTAACGTTCATTATCAAGGACACTAACAGACCGAAAACTTCATGAGCAAAAAAAGCTTCCCTGCAGTTTGCGTTTCCTTCCTGTGCTATAATCCAGTCTGCACCAGCAGTGTTGCCTGTTGTTGATGCAGTGTCTGGAACCCCTGCTCCTGCTGCAGAGGTCTTAGCACAAGGTATCAGGTAAAAACGCTTTGCACCTCTTCATAGCTGACAGTCTCTTCCATCTCCTCTCACCCTCACTTTCTATGATTCTGAGCTCTTTCAACTAACATCTGTAATATTCTGCTTCTTCCCAGACGTTGCAACAGAACCTCTGAAGCCGACGTTCCCAGAAGAACACCGTAAGAACAATGCTAATGAAACGATTAAAGAAGCCAGAGGTATGCTGTGTTCAACAGCTGGCCCGTTCTCTCTAGCTCTGCCGGCCCATGTCTCACCTGTGGCTGCAAACACTCAACATCTAGGTGTGGGGTGTTTGACCCTGAACATAGATGGAGCTGAGCTGAGTTGACTGCGTCTGAAAAAGCTTCCCGTGAATCTTTACCAGTGCCAGTGTAAACAGGTTGCTTTGACTACCAAACTGTTCTAAAGCTGTGCGAAGTATTTTGAGTGTGAGAAAAGGTACTCTTACCTTGCTAAATTGCTCTTGAATGTCAAAACAGGTAATGTTTTGTTGGTAAGAGTTAACTATTAAAAACTTGACATTTGTTCTTAGTGCTTCATATAGATGACTGGACAATAACAATGATGTTTAGAACTAATTGGTAGATCATGAGACACACACTGCTCTGAAATTGTTTGACTGGTGTTTCATAAGCTTTCAAAAGATAGCATATCTCACTGACTTGCACTGCCATTTCCTTCTCACAGTGAGACGGCAAACGGTTGTGATTTCCTCATCCTGAATTTGAGCTTATTTTACTGCAACCTGCTTAACTAGGTATCAGTCTATATTGGAGCTCCTGCCTTTGAGGAGTAGATATTGGTAGGTTATGAAGAGGACTTAACGCTTTGAGGTGTAATGGTGCTGCCTTTTATAAGCTAGTTTTCTGTCAAGTTCTGTGCATGCCAGATATAACTGGAAGAGAATAAAAGCTGGAATTTTGTTTTTCTACCCCTAGAACCTATTCTGAGTCTTGCCTACATCCTTATTCCCAGCATTCCTGTGCTGCTGCTTCTGATGGTCGTTACAGCCATCTTCTGTTTTTGGCTTTTTGCAAAGAGGCAAGTGACACTGTCTAACAGGTGAACCTGTGGTATCTTGTGCGAACAGTCATTTTGCAGCTAGCTTCAGGATCCTGTAAGATGCTCTGGAGAAGACTGCTCTCAGCCAAGTGTAAAAACAAAAAAAAAAAAAAAAAGAAAGTTTAGAAAGCAGCACGGATTTTTCCGTGTAGAGTTATTGCTGAAGTAAAACGTTAGGCAATCGCATTATGTTGTATTATCGTCACGGACGCACAGTAGTTAGGGAGTAGTGTAAAACCAGATGACTGATTTGAAGTGTTAGCGTTACAGTTCCCTTACTAAAGAACAGATTTGTGCAAACCGAAAGATGAGGAGATGCCCTTCAAAAATGATAAACACAATTTGCTCCAAAGTTACCACGCTCTTTCTGCTACTGTGCTTTTTCAGTGTCCTCTCCCTTTCCTTGTGTGCATGGTAGCTTTGGTGGGGAAGGTGGCTGGGGGTGCCTGGGTTGAGCCTTGCTGCCTCAGAACCCCTTGGGGTTCCAGGGTGCCTCCGCCCGGCCCAGGGTGCTGTGGGGCTGCCCAGGGGTGTGGCTTGCTGCCCCGTGCCTGGAACTGCAAGCGATAGCAAATGTCCTGCGTCTAGGCTCTCAGTGTCAGCTTTCCTCAAAGATCATCTTCAGGTTACTGAGAGATGTGGTAT